AACTGAAGCAAAAACTCAATTTCGACTAGATGTCTCAGGACAGAACCCTAAGACATCTATTTATACCAAACGAAATAAAATGATAGTAGACGGGCCAATAACCTAATCGCCCAGCCCATAGAATGATAATGGGCAGAGATGGGCTTCGTGATCCGATGGAGGTCCAGGCTGCTTCCAAACACTTTGTCTTCTCCTCTTCTCTTCCTTGTGCTCAGCTTGTCTGGTTGAGTGCGGATTTGAGTAGAGTGTGAAGACGTGATCGAGTGTCCGGTCGAGTGATGGTGATGGTGGTGAGTGATGATACTCGACCAGGGAGTCGAGTAACTTGGTAGAGTGAATGGTCGAGTGTGGTCAGGTGGTGTGGCGAAGTGATACTCGACCAGGGGGTCGAGTGGCGTCATCGAGTGGCCTGAGCTGAGGATACTCGACCAGGGGGTCGAGTAGGTGGGAAGAATGGCTCCAAAGTTACTCGACTTGGGGGTCGAGTATGGTGTTGGATGCACACGACCTGGTGGTTGAGTATGTCTTCTAGTTCTGGCTCGTTTCTTCCAATTTGCTCGCAAACAGCTCCAAATCACCTGAAAACAACTGAGAAATGCAATATGTATGCAAAGCTATCCTAATCATGCAAAGTACGCAAGAATGATAAGAAATGATATAAAACAGTGATGAATGATACGAAACTGGACTCAAAACGATGATGAATGGACACTGAAAACATGCAAATTTTAGACATATCAACTCCCCCAAACTTAGTCTTTGCTTGCCCTCAAGCAAATAAGAAGACATAGTTGAAGGAGAGGTTTGAAGGTGGGGACTCAATGTCCAAGTTGGTAGTTCTAAGATGCGATATGATTGAATCTTACTCAAAAACGTTAGCCATGCCTTGTTATCAATCAATCCGTCTCTTATACTCGACCTAAATGCTTTCAAATCTACCAATCCTTTTAACATTCATTAGTTTTGGAACGTGAATCAAGCAATGCATCATCAATGAACTCATTTGGCTAAGGTGAAGGTCAAGAGACAAAGATGGTCCCTTACAGAATAGGCTTAAGTACCAGGGGATCTCTCAAGAATGATTGAGCTTTAGTAGAATGCTAAAGGTAAGTCCCAAGTTATACATACAGAGGTAAGATCCCATCTACCCAGAGTATAGCAATGAAGCTCTAATGGTAATCCCAACTCCAGTCCCAACTTAACTCTACCCTTTGCACTCATGAATCTTCCAAACTCTTTTTTTTTCATATCATTCTTTTCTTTTCTCTTAACTCTAAGAGAACCTTTCTCAACACTCTGATACATCTAGCGGATTTGGATTTCTTTAACAACTAAGGTTCCTGTTTTTAATCTTTAAAACCGAAGGCTTTTAACCCTTCTTCTTTAGCTAACAAGAACCTCATTTTTTCTTTAACATTCCCAAAGCCTTCACTAGATTTTTTTTTTCTAACTTCTTTAGCTTACTTCCCCTAGAATTCTTTCCCTTTCCTTATCAACAATGAATTCACCCTTTTCTTTTAAACACATCCCAACCCATGATATAAGCGCCCACCTAGTCCTATCCAGTCCGAAGAACGCGAACTAGAACTACATGAGACACTATCTTTGTCGTTACGAACCTAACACTTTCTACCAAGCTCAATCGAAATAAGACCTCACAAACACTCACAAGTGATAAAGGGCTTGAAAGAAAGTTTAGGTTTGGGTTCGGGTTAATTGCTCTAATAAGGAGAGTCAACTACTTGGATTAACAAGAGTGGTTAAAATGAGTAAGAGAATCCAAGTATTTTAGGGTATCCATGAGTTCAAATTAGATGCCAAGACATGATAATTCTAAATCAGATTCAAGTTCAAATTGATAGGGAATGGTATCAGATCCTAACAGTGTGGTCGAGTAGAGCAATCTAGGCATGGTGCAGTTTTACTTTAATTTCAATGACTACGCATCAGACAACTAACAACGAGGGCACTAAGTTTATCTGGTGAACCAAAATGCTTACAAGGCTATCTCATCATTATCCCCTATGCATATGCAACAATCCTAAACGAAACACTCTAGACTCGATCCTAAATGAAATGCAACTAGATGAACACTCTATTTTTTGTGAAATCATTTTCTGAATTTTTTCAATTTTTTTGGTTTTTTCTATGCCTTAGATGAATGCAGACTCAAAATTATATACAATGCAGCACACACTTCCTGAGCCCTCCCCCAAACTTAAATCACACAGTCCACTGTGTGACCAAATTTGGAAGAGAGTACTCAGGACAAGACACATCACAAAATAAAAATAAAAACAAGAGATGGTATATTACAATGGTGGAGTGAGGTGCATACCTCAGTGGAAGAAGGAGCGGAGTTGGTCGTCAATAGCATCCTGTGATTGCTCCCAGGCCATCGAAGAATCTCCCTGTTGTGTCTCAGCTTCCCCTTGGGTGTACTCGACCTCTGCTCCTTCGCCGCGGCCAGCACCGCTCTGATGATACTCGACCTCTCTTCTTCTGCTGCGGCCAGCACCGCGGTCATTTTAATTACTGACATGGAGAAGTTGTGACTGCATCATTCGCTATACTCCACCACGTCGTTATTCGATCCCTGTAAGGTGTGGTCGAGTGATTTCCTGGGGTGAAGAGGCCAGAACAATGTCGAGTGTCCTTGATTGCTCTGTGGTCGAGTGTATTGTTGTTCCCTCAAAGCCAGAATCTATTTCCCTCAGCTCTTCATACTTATCTCCTGAAAACACTAATAAGATGCATCAAAAACAACAAGGAAAATTAAAGATATGTACAAAGATAGGCATGGGATTTCCTCCCAAGTGAGCTTGTTTTAGGTCTCTAGCTTGACTCCTCATACTCATTAGGCATTTATAGGCTCCTCCAAAGGAACAGAAGTTCCGTCTGGAATAAACTGATCTATCATGTATTTTTTGAGCCGCTGGCCATTGACTGTGAAGTCTCCATTCTTTTCAGCTAGAGTGATAGCACGATAAGGTCGGACTGCAGTAACAGAGAAAGGACCAGACCATCTTGAAGTAATCTTTTTCATCGGGATAGTGTCATTCCCGTATCTTGATTGAGCTTTCTCTTGCATCTGATCTAGTTTACTCTTAAGTTCCTCAACTGTCTGAGCTAGCTTCTCTATGGTTTCTTCTTGCTCATCAGATTTCTTTTTGAGTTCTCGCAGGTCAGGTGCAGAGGTTGTGCTTGAACGGGTGACTGAATCCGAAGGCTGAGGTTGAGCTGTGATCTGTTCTTCTACAGGTGACTTTTGCGAAGTTTTAGTGATGTCAAATTGCAGCTTGATGTGCTTCCCAAGGTTGAGACTTATTCTCCCATCTCTGACATCTATCATCGCTCCCACTGAGGCTAAGAAAGGTCTTCCTAGGATTAGAGGATCCTTAGGTTCTGCTTCCATATCAAGCACAACGAAATCTGTAGGCACTTCCACTCCATTAATCATTACTGGCAGATCTTGTAGAAGGCCAAAGGGTTTTCTTGAAGACCTATCAGCAAGGATCAAAGTCAGGTCGCAAGGCCTGTACTGAGTGAATTCCAGCTTCTTTGCCACGGAGAGTGGCATTAAGCTTACAGAAGCTCCCAAATCACAAAGACAATTGCTGAAAACCAATTGACATATGGAACATGGTAGAGTGAAAGTTCCTGGATCTTCGAGTTTTTCTTGAACACTCCTCTTAACAGTGGTCCTAGACGGAATAACATCACGTTCGTCTTCTGAATCTTGATGAATCTTCATCCTTTCCAGAATTGACTTTCTCACATCTTTGTGAGGATCCGGAATCAGGTTGAGAACTTCTATTAGAGGCATCACCGCTTCCATCTCATCAAGCTGCTTCTATGCAAGAGAATTGTATCTTTCTATCCATGCTTTCCTGAATTTCCATGGAAGAGCACGTGAAGGTAATGGTGCTGGCTTGAATCGTTTTACCATCCTCTCAATGAGGGCTGCTTTCTCGTCTAGGTTGGACTGAGTTTGAAAACGGGATCCCGCTGAATTGTCGAGTCCAACCACTAAAATTTCGATCTGAGTAGAAGCCTCCCCGTCCAGAACATCACTGTCCTCGGTGATTGATGTGGAGACATGTCGAGTAGGCAGCTCTCGATCATGACAGTTGGTGATAGCGTGAGCAGTGGCATATTCCTTCGGGTTCTGTATGGACTTCCGTGGAAGTCCTGTTACTTTTGGAGCAGAAGTTGACGCTGTTTGTCCTTCCATGTATCTGACCTTAGAGGTAAGTTCCTCAAGTTTGATATTCAAATCGTTGAAAGTGGAATCAACCTTGTTGTGGATTTCTGCCATCTTTTTGGCGAGATCCATTGCACCTGCAGCTTGTCCCTGGAGAATCTGCTGTAACATGTTCTTCAAGTCTGAATCTGGAGTTGTTGAATCTGGTTGTTGTTGCTGCTGTGTGAAACCAGGTGGTGGAAGTTGCTGCTGATAGTTGCCCTGGTACTGCTGCTTAGGAACATACCCCTGACCTTGGTTGTATGGAACAAAGGGTTTGGGTTGATTCTGCTGCTGTGAAGGGTAGACTTGGTCCTGCGGGTTGGCAACATTTGTACTTCTGTAAGACATATTGGGATGGTTCTGCTTATAGTTGTTGAAACCTTTGTTGTAACCTCCTTGGTTCTGCACATAGCTGACCTCTTCTGACTGCAAAGTCTCCCCATACTGAACTTGGAACGTCTCATCCTTACCCAGAAAATGAATGTGCTTCTGTTGCACAAGGAGTAGCTTGTCTAGTTTGTCATTCATGGCTTTCATTTCCCTGCGGTGCTTCTCATCAGAATCAGAGCTGGTGCAGATGCTTCTGTCATAATTTTCATTATAGTTGCCATCCGACTGTGCCAAGTTCTCTACCAGCTCCCATCCGTCTTCAACATCTTTGTTGAGGAAGTTCCCATAAGAAGCGGTATCAAGAAGTATCCTGATCTTGGGAAGGACACCTCTGTTGAGGGTGCTGAGAAGTGAAGCTTTGGAGAAACCATGATGAGGACATTGTGTCTGGTAACCTTTGAAGCGCTCATTATTTGTCTGTATGAAACCGGAGATATCATTCCTTAGTCTCGCAGTCCTGGAGTTTGAGAAAAACTTAGCCAAGAAGGCTTTCTTGCAGTCATTCCAGGAGGTGATAGAGCCTTGAGGAAGCGACTTTTCCCACTGATGGGCTTTGTCTCCAAGAGAGAATGGAAACAATCTGAGCTTGAAGCCATCCTCACTAACTCCATTGATCTTTGTTAGGCTGCAGAGCCTATCAAACTCGTCCAGGTGATCGAGTGGGTCCTCCATAGGGAGGCCGTGGAACTTGTTGCTCTGAAACATGGCAATGAGACCGCTCTTGATCTCAAAGTTGTTGTTCTGCACAGGTGGAGGCACGATGCCATTACGTTGATTGTGGTTGCGTGGTGCATCGCCTGCACCTATGTTGTTTGGTTGCACTTGCTCATCTACAACTCCAGCCATTGTGTCTGTTTCTGTCTGTGTTCTGAGTTGGCGTGCAATACGGTCGATGTTATTGTTGAACAAGAGATTCTGATTTCCTCATGACTGTGTTTGCATACAACGAGTACCAACTGGTGAAGCTGGTGATTCGTAGTACCTGAATAAAAACAGACAAACAGAAAAAACACAAAGTTAGTAACTTTCAGAAAAATTGAAAAAGAACTTGATCTTAAGTATTCTGAAACCTCAAATATAGCAAACAAACCCCAATTGGCAACGGCGATAAATTGATAATAGGTTTTTATGGTCAATTATCCTAAAACACCAATCATGTCGTAGTAGTATTTTAGGTGTCAATCCAAATGAGTGTGATGCAAACAGATGAGATGTGATCAGAAGTCACTAAGTCAAGCCAAGCAATAACAGTTTTGGGGTTTCTAACAGTCCTAAGTGAACATGTAGAAAACAGAAACAATAACAGAATTACTAAAATCACTCGACCACAACAGGGTGATGCCAGAAGCAGGATGTGGTCGAGTAACAGGTCGAGTAACAGACAGGATATGAAACAGATATACTCGACTGCACAGTCTGTTGCCAGACACTGGGTGTGGTCGAGTATACTGGTCGAGTAACAAACAGGAAACAAGACAACTGTACTCGACTGCACAGTCTGTAGCCAGACACTGGGTGTGGTCGAGTAAGTTGGTCGAGTAATTGCAAAAACTAAGAAACAGGTAATGAGAACGATTAAGCGATAACGATAAAACAGAGAAATAATATAGACAAGAAATTCCTAAGGATGGGGTAATCGAGTAGAGTGGTATCCTAGCCTATTCGAATGGTTAACAAGCGCAATCAAGCTATCCGTAGACAACAAGTTCAACAACAGATCAATTCATTCCCGTGATAGAAATCCTCAAGCAAAGCTAGTCCTAAAGGGATTCAATCAATTCTAAAACTTAACCGTTCTACAGACTACAGATTCCACAACTACTCTATCCCATCCCTAAGAATTCTAAGTCACTACTCAGACAACATGCTCAAAGACATAAACGCTATTAAATGATAATATTGCATAAGTAAAGAGATAAAGAGTAGAGAAACAAGATGACAGATGAAATCAAATGCGGAATCTGAATAACTTGGAGAAATCTCGA